CGGGAGCTGTGGCTTGTGGCGTGTAGGGATTTGCACTTGCGTGTGAGCGTGTCCGCTGCCGTAGCACGAGCCCAGCAGGTTAGGGGCCCTCAGTACAGGATGCTGTAGGAAGGAGCAAGGGGATCGGGTGGTGTGCTGTGATGTGACAGTAGCTTCAAGTCTGACTTGGACCAGTGCCCAGCCTTGCCACGTTCTCGCTGGGTGGCTCTGAGCAAGTCAGTCCACACTGCCCAACCTCGGTTTCTCATTATAAAACAGAAGCGACCGCTGTCCGGGGAGGCAGTAGTTGGGCTGGGGTTGAGCTCGGCGAGGGGCCCATGATCAGGGCTAAACAAATGGTCCCTCCCTTCTCCAGAATCCAGGCAGGAACCGTCTGGTGCCATGGTGAGCACAAACCAGACCTTTCACTGGGTCCCAGGGGGACCATGGAGGGGAGAGAGGGACCTGGGCCTTGCATGGCCTTTATCCAGGGGCTTGAAATGAATGAGGTCATGCACTGGGGACTGAACTCGGGGGCCCTCAGCCACTGAGCCACATCCCCAGCCCTGTTATATATTTTATTTAGAGACTCACTGAGTTGCTTAGGGCCTCACTGCGTTGCTGCGGCTGGCTTTGAACTCGCCATCCTCCTGCCCCAGCCTCCCGAGCTGCTGGGATGACAGATGTGCGCCACCGCAGCCGGCCTGACCCCTGGTTTACAGACAGGGAAACGAGGGCTCAGAAGTGGGCTGCATGGCCACTTAGCGTCCAACCAAGGGATCCCGTCCCTTGCCCCAAGTCATGGCCGACAGCAGGGTCTCTTTCAATGGTGCCGTTTTCCAGTTATCACCTGCTGCTGACAAGCATGAGGCCAAAGATCCAGGGGCAGGAGGAGGTCTGCAGCTGGAGGGGGTCATGGGAAGCTGGTGTCCGTTTGGCCAGTTCCTTGACCTCCTTGGGTCTTAGTGTCCTCCTCTGAGAGTGGGTGCATGGGCTAGAAGCCTCCATGATGGTGGTTCTGCGTCGGGCTGTGTCTGGCCTGCTGGGGTCACGCATCCCCCACCGCTGTGCCCCCACAGCCCGAGGAGCTGACCAACATCTTGGAGATCTGCAACGTGGTCTTCACCAGCATGTTCGCCCTGGAGATGATCCTGAAGCTGGCCGCCTTCGGGCTCTTTGATTACCTGCGGAACCCCTACAACATCTTCGACAGCATCATCGTCATCATCAGGTACCCCTCCCCCACCTCCTGCTCTGCAGCAGGGCAGGGGACAGTGTGCACATCCAGCCAGTGCACAGGTGATGAAGGAAGCCAACCACTTGGAGGCCGTCATCCAAATATTTTTTTTTTTAAATTCTTGATTTAGCAATATATATGCTTCTGGATTAATGCATTAAATAACAAGATGTAGCGGCAGGCCGGTGACTACCGTCACTCTAAAGGAGGGATGCACGTAACAAACAGAAATTTTCCACCCACTGTCATGTAACATAAAGATATCTGTTATTTTGATTGCCCCAAAAGTCCTCGGGACCGCTAATCCTCTGTGATTTGCCGTTTATATTTGTAATCAGAGGAAGCATTAAACCTCCGGAGAGGACAGTGACGTTAATGGAGTTTTTAGATTTTAGCCATGACTTCCTGGTGGGGGGTCCCTGGAGCTGCAGCCGGCACGTTACCTTTGGGTGGATGAATTAGTGGATGAGTGAAAGCTCTCTGTCTCTGTGTCCTCCCGGCCTGGCCTCTCCTTCCTCCTCTCTCGGCCTCCCTCTGGCCCTGCGCCCCTGCTGGCTGGCCACAGCATCTGGGAGATCGTGGGGCAGGCGGACGGCGGGCTGTCAGTGCTGCGCACCTTCCGGCTGCTGCGGGTGCTGAAGCTGGTGCGCTTCATGCCCGCGCTGCGGCGCCAGCTGGTGGTGCTCATGAAGACCATGGACAACGTGGCCACCTTCTGCATGCTGCTCATGCTCTTCATCTTCATCTTCAGGTGAGCCCTGCCCACCCGGGACCCCACTTGCAGGGCCAGCCAGGGCTGTGGGCAGGAGCATGGGGGGGTACATTCCTGTGGCTCTGGGCAGGTTCTTCCCAGGGAGCCTCAGTGTTCTCCTCGGGAAAATGGGACCCACACTGTCGCCCGCCCCCACCTCCCCGCCTTACTGTGTTGCCTGAGACCAAACCAGGTGGGAAGGGAAGGCAGAGCGTGGTGGACGGGAACCCTCGAGCTGCCCCCTTCCTCCCTTCCTCCCCCAGCATCCTTGGGATGCACATCTTTGGCTGCAAATTCAGCCTCCGCACGGATACGGGAGACACGGTTCCTGACAGGAAGAACTTTGACTCCCTGCTCTGGGCCATTGTCACAGTGTTCCAGGTGGGTGCACTTCAGGGGAGGGGATCCTGGGCAGCAGACCACCTGGGATGGGGTGGGGCTGAGGTTGACAGTGCCCATCCCTCCTGGTAGACAGAGGTGGCCCTGAGGGGCCTCAGGACTGACTGGTCTCTCCCTCAACAGATCCTCACCCAGGAGGACTGGAACGTCGTCCTCTACAATGGCATGGCCTCCACTTCCCCCTGGGCCTCCCTTTACTTTGTTGCTCTCATGACCTTCGGCAACTATGTCCTCTTCAACTTGCTGGTGGCCATCCTGGTGGAGGGTTTCCAGGCCGAGGTGACCACAGCCCTGGGGGAGGAAGCGCTCCCAGCAGGGCCTGCGAGACTCTAGGCAGGGGAGAGGGAGCCTGGGTGGTGGGGGGCTGTGTCATATCCTCAGAGGAGGGCTGCCCACGAGGCAGGGAGCCTCCGTCCCGGGAGGGACGCAGCTGGGGCCTGCGTCTGGGATTCCTGTTTCTCCCCCGAGGGTGAAGGACTAGGTCTTCCCATCTCTGAGGTTCTAAAGCCCTGAGACCTGGAATTCTGGATCCCGCTCCCTCCTTTTTCCAAGGCTTTGGAATGTGTGCAGTCGGGCAGGCGGGGGACGGTGGCCTAGATCCCCATTAGCTTCCACTTCCCCTTTCTGAGCCTCACTTTTCCCATCTGTAAAAGGAGAGTGGGAACACCCATTGGCAAACCCAAGAGGGAAGGAGGGCTGGGAGGAGGGGAGTTGCCCTGCATGCTGACCGCTGACGGGTGCCTGCCTCCCAGGGGGACGCCAACCGCTCCTACTCAGATGAGGACCAGAGCTCATCCAACATGGAAGAGTATGACAAGTTCCAGGAGGCCCTGGACAGCAGCGGAGGTAAACAGGCCTCCACTCGTCCCCTGGGGGCCAGGAGCCTTCACTGGAGACCCAGGTGGGCCCAGGGCACAGCATCTGCTCCCCTGGACCCCAGGCTCAGAGAGTGCTAATTCTCTGTGTTTGGTTTTTGTGTTACTAACTGAAAGAAAGAGGACATTCGTGGACCTCTGGGGTCCCGCCACAGGGCTAATTGCAGCCCACCCGCTTCCCTTCCCACAGGCTCTTGGGTAGAGCTGTGGGGCCTTCCGATGTGGCCTGTGGTCCTGGCTGGTAACACGAGGCAGCTTGAGCCAAGCCACTCCAACCCAAGCCCTGGCTTCTGGGTAGCCCCGGCAGACTGCCTGCTTCCTGCAGTGGGCCAGGGAGCCAGGCTCCCTTCCCTTCGTACTGGGCGAAGGTCCAGGCTGGTCTGATCCCAGAGCCCTGGAGGCAGGGTGCAGGGGAGGCACACGGGATGAGGTGCAACCTGGAAGGCTTCCTGGTAGAGGAGTCTCCTCATAAAGTACTCCACTTCTGTTATGTCCACACCCTTTCCTTTGTCTTGTTTCCTTTGCTCTTGTTCTGTGGTCTTCCATCTGTCCCTCTCTCTGTCTCCCTCTTGCTTCTCCAGATCCCAAGCTCTGCCCAATCCCCTTGACCCCCAATGGGCACCTGGACCCTAGTCTCCCATTGGGCGGACACCTAGGTCCTACTGGGGCTGTGGGCCCTGCGTCCCGCCTCTCGCTGCAGCCAGACCCCATGCTGGTGGCCCTGGACTCCCGCAAGAGCAGCGTCATGTCCCTGGGGCGGATGAGCTATGATCAGCGCTCCCTGGTGAGTCCTGTGGGTGGGGGCTCCGTCCAGAAGGGCCTCCCCCACTGGGATGTGGGTTGAAGGACCCCAGAGCCAGGTGCCTGCAACCTTAGCTTCACACTGAGGTGCACAGGCTTAGGACAGGGATTGCCCCAAGCCAGGCAGGACCATGTCTGTCACATTCCTGGGTGCCCAGTGCCTGAGCAGGACCTGGCAACAGGAATGACTGGGGTCAGGCACACAGAACTGGGTTTCATCTTGGTAGCAAATGTGTAGGGTCAAGAATTTGGGGTCAGGCAGACTAGAGTTGGAATCTGGCCTCTGTCACCTCTGAGCTGTGTGTCCTTGAGCAAATTACCACTCTTCTCAGCCCTGGTTTCCTTTCCTGTAAAATAGGAAGGTGGCCGTAACTTCTCTAGTTCCTCAAGGGAACAGGTAGCAGGGAGGGATTAGACCTCCAGGGGGACTTGTCCACGTGGGTGGGATGAGAGGCAGAGCAGGCAGAGGAGCCCCTAACCCATTCGGTCGCCTGCTAGCCAGGCGGGGACCCTCTTAGAGCCACAGCGGGGCTTGCAGGAGGCCTGGCATCACGGGTGTGCGCGACCACGCTGACCCAAGCCCTGGCTCCCCCACAGTCCAGCACCCGGAGCTCCTACTACGGACCTTGGGGCCGCAGCGGGGCCTGGGCCAGCCGCCGCTCCAGCTGGAACAGCCTCAAGCACAAGCCGCCCTCGGCTGAGCACGAGTCCCTGCTCTCGGCGGAGCGCAGTGGCGCTCGGGCCTGCGAGGGTGCCCGGGAGGAGGGGCCTCCGCGCGCTGCGCCGCTGCATGCCCCGCACGCCCACCACGTGCACCATGGGCCCCACCTGGCGCACCGTCATCGCCACCACCGCCGGACGCTGTCCCTCGACACTCGGGACTCGGTGGACCTGACCGAGCTTTTGCCCGCCATGGGCCTCCACCCCAGGGCCGCCTGGAGGGCGGCGGGCATGGCCCCCGGGCACGAGGACTGCAACGGCAGGATGCCCAATATCGCCAAGGACGTGTTCACCAAGATGGACGACGGCCGGGATCGCGGGGAGGACGAGGAGGAGATCGACTACGTAAGTGGGGGTCCCTCCGGGAACCAGGAAGAGCGCGGTGCAAGCAGAGGTGGGCTCGAGGGGGCGGGCCAGAGCGGTGGGGCTTAAAACTGTGGCCCGAGGGGCGGGGCCAGAAAATGAGGGGGGGG